CAATGCTTAAGCTTTCAACGCTGCTGTAACTGCAATCAGAGCAGTCGCGTTTAGACCGGGAATCCGATCTTCTATTAATAGCACGAAAAGGAGGCCGAGACTGCCTGTCATGGCCGCCGTCCACATTTTCCTTATCCTCTAAAAGTCTCTCAAGCCTACGAAGGCGTTTTCGTAGGTCGCTTTTTGACGTCCCCCTGCTCCTAGAGCGATGCCGCTTGTTGGACTTGCCCATGTGTAGTAAAAAATTACATACGGGCGAAAAAGGCCTAAAAATAATACCTATGGTTAATAAAAACCGCTAAAATAAAATCATTTAGTTATACTCAGATACCAAAATCGTCGAAACACGCAAGACAACGATGTGAATGTGAACACGAGCACGAGAAAGCGAAGAATGAATCACCTGACGCCTGGCGCGAGGAACGAAACGCAAGGTTAACTCAGTGGCGGCTCGGCGGCAGGGTCGAACTTCTATTTTTGTTTCCTTTTTGTGAAACCTTTCTTTAAATACTCGTGATATGAGTTCGAGCAAGCGAACTACATGGTATTCTATACAATGTCTTCGGATTGGATGTCTCATATAATTAATAATAATAATTAAAAAAATTAGGTACAGAGATCAAAAATATTTTATCTTAGTAAATAAAAAAAACTCTCCCATTTGCAATGCTTCGCTTCCCAAAACATAGGTAATATATTATAACAAGTGCCGATAAGGCACATGTTTAAACCGAAATAGCTTAGTAATTCGGTCATAAGATAGTAGCATGCCATATACGTATATTGATATTCATCTTCTTGGTAAATGATTAATGGAGAAGGAATGCAAGGAGAATCAAGCACTTAGCGAATAAATTCTCCAGCATATTGCACTTTACCTTTGTGGGTACCTTCCTCCGACACCATTTCTATTCACCCATAAGATTCGACATCGCCAGTACATCTCTCGTCTAGACGTTCCAACCGCCCTTCATTTAATTTGAAATTAACTGCAAGGGATCGCGAAAAAGGGCTATCGCAACCCCAAGGTAACGGATATCCAGCTTTACACACATCTCCTTAGAGAAAAACTTAGAAAGCACTCTCCCGGCAGACCGCACTTCGAGTTCTGCCGGCTTACAGGGCAAAGATCTTCTCTCTCACTCAATTGTAGAGTTACTTGAACAGGCATGCCCTATAAGGACTGTCAAGATGCCATATATCCTTAGTGGTGCAGGGCGCTCGAAAAGCAAAAAACTCAGCCGGGCAAACTGTTCAATAATTCGAGGTAGAACGCTAAAGCCAATAAGTACTGGGAAAACTATAACGTATTGGTACGGAAGATTAGCAGGAATCAGAGAGACGCATGGAAACGTTTTTGCACCTCTATATAGATTCCACCTCCTGTACATACATCATGCCTAAATAAATTCTAACATAAAGTTCATACCCCGCTAGCCTCAGACAAGAGGATGGATCCTATACCCGGACAACCTCTCAGAGAGAGCCGAGGTATTGAGAGACGCTCACTTTCTAGAAGCCACCACAGCTGAACAACGGAGGGAGATAAAACTTGTCTTTATCCCCAAACCTGGCAAAGGTGGTTACTCCACACCTAAAGCATATCAACCAATCAGTTTGATGTTTTTCTTCTTAAGACACTTGAAAGATTGTGCGATAGATACATACCGGTTACGGCGCTATAACATGATTTTTGTTGCACCCTAATAAACACGCGTACTCCCCAGGAAGATCTACAGATTGAGAGATCCCTGGACTGGCATAAGAGGGGCATTTGACAAAACAACCTTCGACACAATAGAAATTACGTCACGCCACCAAGGCGTAATGAAAGTAGTAGGTACGAGGCTGGATTGCGCAGCTGCTGAAAGTCAGACAGTGCACATTAGCGAAAGGATGACCCCTTAAGATGGGGTGCTATCAGGCTATCACCACTTCTGTAGAGCGTTATTACAGCCCCATCTGTCGCCTCAACGACAGCGACTACTTACGCTGATGTGGTATGCATATCATGTATTTATACTAATAACTGGGTAATTCAAGGCTACTATATGCAGGCTGATGGAATCAGCTCTTAGAGTAACCGAAGAATGATCGTGAAAACACCCCTTATATCCACCAACCCGACAAAAACGGAGCTAGTTCTATTCACAAGAAAAAGACAAGGTATAGAGGATCTTTGATCAGTGAAAGGCATCACACTTGATAAAAAATTGAATTGGAGCCAACATATCCAACTCGAGGCCGAAAAAGAGAATTGGCAGATTTTGTGGGGACCAATTGTCTGATGACCTAGAAACTGACTCCCCACCTCCACAACCACAGGACTTCTTAATTATGTGAAAAGACTTAGCGATCCTTGCGTCTGAAAACTAAGGGCCTGTTGAATAGCAGACGTTTTGAGATGGGTCAATCTCGATTTCAAGGCGAGGTAAGAGATTGCCTATACTAGAAGGGCAATCGACCTCACTCACCCCTTCATCCCAATTCATATTATGGAAAAACTAGTAAATCACATACTTGATGGATGTCCCGCTCTAGATCCATGTTGCTTTACCTTCCAGCATCCTTAGGTTCATCTCACGTGTGGGATGGCTTGAGTGTTTTTTAAGGTCGGACGACTCTAGTTAGAGAGGTTACAAAGGGTCTGAATACTAGGCCTAAGTACATGTGGATCATATCTGCACTCTCCTATCATAATACAGAATCCATCACTCAACATTCACTGAAGCATGGACTATCACCATCTATCTACACAAGATGACTTAAAATTGCCTGTCCAATGAATGAACTTTTAATACACAAAAGCTTTTTTCCAAATAAATGGCAAACGCATCGAATTTGCAATTTTGCTGTAATCTTTTCAGAGCCTTTGCTTGCTCCTGGACCATAAATGCGAATGCAGAGCAATTTCAATGATACCTACAGCATGTTCCAGCATCAAAAAAGACAAAAATAGACATTTATTAATATCAACAGAAACAAAACTAAAATTAATTACTTATGCACGAAATCTTAACATTTTTAAAAATTTAAATCCGAACAATGAAACGCAACGAAATCTTAAATTCTAAATACTTAAACTCTAAGAAAAAACTAATTAACTAAAACTATTAACATTTAACTTCATTTCTCACGCTTATGGTTAAATTTAAAGTGTAACACTAAGTAACGTTTTACATTAGTTTTATAACCACATTGATTACACTCAAAGCTCTTCGGATTGTGCACCAAGAGGTGCTGCGTTAGTCGGGATTTTACATTCGTCCCGTAATCACAATTTGGACATTTGAAATCGTGAACATCTTTATGTGTCGACAGATGTCGTTTATACAAAAATTTTGTATTAGTACTATAGTCACAGAAGCCACACTTAATATTTTTTACTTGATGAGTTAAGACATGTTTTTTTAAGCAAGATTTGTGGCTTGTCTTGTAACTGCATTTATCACACAACAATTTTTGTGCGTCATGTCCGAGAACATGCCGTTTTAAATTTGGTTCTGCATGAGTGACGTATGAACATTTACTGCAATGAAATTTTTTTATCAGACTATGGCTTTCCATATGTACTTTAAACGAGTTTTTTAAATTTGTTTGATATTGACATGTTCCGCATTGGAACTTCATTGATTGGCCATGTTTTCTGGTATGGGCCTTCAAATTAATTTTAACATTGGTCACATAATCACAATTGGCACATTTATACTCATTAGAAGTATTATGAAGCAACATATGTTGCTTGAATCGTGATTTTATACTAGTTGCATAGTCACAATTCTTACATTTAAATTCTTGAGTGTCCTTGTGGCTAAATAAGTGCTGACTATACAACTGCTTGTTGTTTGTAGCGTATTCACATTCAGAACATTTATAATCTTTTATAATTCTATGAATCGTCAAGTGTTTTTTATAGACAAATTGCGAATGCGTAGCATAGCCGCAGGTTTCACATGTAAAATTCTTAACCGGGTTATGAATCTGCAAATGTCTCTTTAAAGAGTAATTATACGTCGTCGCATAGTCACACTGCCCACATTTAAATTTACGATCTTTGTTAGTCTTTTGAGTATTCGTACTGGTATCCGCTACACTGGAACATCCTGCTTGACCTCCGCTTACATCTTCTCCCACCTCTTCCTTTATATATTCCGAGAGATCTACTCCACCTGTATCTACCTCCACTTCAATTTCTGTTTTAACTATGTAATCCTCTTCGAACATTTTCCAAAAGAAATTGTTCTACAAAATACCGCGACAGACAGTTTGAAATGGCGACGGCTTCAGGAACTACCTATAGATCACTGTATAGTGTTGCCAACTTGCCAACCTAAAATATTAATTCCCCACACATTGTCATGATCAAAAATTATAAAAAAATAGAATTCGTCTTCATTTTGTATATTATTAATTGCGTAATAGCATTGTTTATTCCAACAATGATAATAATAAGCGTATTTGCGATGTACAAGCTTGTAATTTTGTGAGAATTTAAAATTCCCGCCATTTTCAACGGCTACCCAACGCCGTACAGGGCCGTATTAAGTACAGTTTAATGTAGCGATAGACGGCAAGTGGGCTAGTTACACGATAATTTTCTACCAATGACATTTCCAATCCTAGAATTCGCTAAAAACAATGTAAAATGATTAAACATCATGTATAAACAAGAAAACTGCAAATGCGTCAACAGTACTTCTAAGGTCTGTTATATTATTGAAGCTACAGTGGGGTGATTAGAAGCTTTGCCTTGACTAAGATTCCTTTTAGCTGCAGTGGTGGCTCCAACACCCAAACCTGGAACAAAAACAGCACCACTGCAACTACGAGAATGCATGTTGTGGCAATCCTGGTCAGAGAAGTCCTCCGTCACTAACTTAACTTTTTAGCTTAAGCCAAAATTCGTAAGAAAAATTGTGGTCCTTCTTCGTCCTCACAGATATGCGTGACTTGCATGCTACTTTATTGAAATATTTTAGCATCTTGTTAATAAAACAAAGTTATAAATGACAAATTTAATAAAATGTTATAAGAATACCTTTCTTACAACAACTGTATGTCGTTATAAACACAATAACAATAATTTTTGGATAGACTGTAATAAATAAATTAAAATACACTAAAATGAATTGTAGAAACTTAATTCTAACCTATCATCAATTTACAAGATTCAAATGATAAACACTTCTAATGAATAAGAAGTCAAATGATAAATCGAAATATCTAGTTGCATTTATACAACAAATTTAACTGAGTTTATCATGACTGCGACTAGAACTGCGTGAAGTCTTTCTATGTATATTCTCTAAGTATGCTGCAGGAGCCCATCCCTCAATTGAAGTTCCTGAAAACAGAACAGAATCAGTCAAAGTTTTTCAAAAGTTATGAAAACTATCAGCTTTATTCCAACGAAACCCTCGACAGACACTGTGTAGGAATGCTATTTAATGGACTAGTACCCGATTGAGAACTACCAATCGGCTCCAATTAATTTTCAATAGTTCAAAGTTTCTGGGAAAATTTTCTAGGTCAGTTTTGAAAATTCGTACTTACATACTTCCGAAAGCTGCAGCGATTGTAAAATATTTGCAAAATAATGGCACTTCCAAAAATGCCGAAAGTAGGTAGCACTTTGTTGTTTTTAATTTTCACTGTATCCTTAGATTGTATATGAATTGTTGTTTCTTTTAATACTCGCATGTTTTTTAATGCAATGTCATTTTTATGAACAAATGAAAGATATAGAAGATACTTTGAAAATTAGTGATCAAGAGTGAAGTTCCATCATAATTATTATACAGAGTGGCCCAACGAGAAGTATACAGAGGGCTTTTAGGGTATTAAATTTAGAAATTTCGAAAAATCCTCGAACACGTCAATTTTGTATTCGAGGGAGACAACTTTTGGAATACAAATCACAAACCCAAGTCTTCACCCCTCTACGTAGGGAGCTGAACCCCTAAAATATTAAATGGAGTCCTATGGCAAATGGCACATTATTTGAAAGCCAATTTAATCGTGATTAATAATCTGCTTTGGTTTTTAAATTCTATTGATTCGTTTCGGAGATATTCGCCTTTGAAATGGTTTCTAAAAAAACCAAAACAAATGCGATCTAAGTCACCTTGTATTAAAATTTTTAAATTTTAATACAAGGTTTAAATTGTGCAAAAAATAACAAATAACTTTAAACACATTTATTTCAATAAATGCTCGAATTGTCTTTCATGCAATAATAAAGATTTGCTTCAAAACGCTGCCGTACATGTTGCAAGATTTCAGGGGTAATCGCTCGAAATTGTTGAGTTATACCATAGTGTATTCTATTCTTACACTATGGTTATACGTGATCGCAACCCATGTAATGTTCCGGGCGGAGTAGCATAAACTTTATTCTTTAAATATCCCCATAAGAAGTAATCTAAAGGACTTAAATCAGGGGGAAAAAACCATTTCAAATGCGAATATCTCCGAAACGAATCAATAGAATTTAAAAAGCAAAGCAGATTATTAATCAAGATTAAATTGGCTTTCAAATAATGTGTCATTTGCCATAGGACTCCATTTAATATTTTAGGGGTTAAGCTCCCTACGTAGAGGGGTGAAGACTTGGGTTTGTGATTTGTATTCCAAAAGTTGTCCCCCTCGAATACAAAATTGACGTGTTCGAGGATTTTTCGAAATTTCTAAATTTAATACCCTAAAAGCCCTCTGTATACTTCTCGTTGGGCCACTCTGTATAAAGTGTCCAATCAGAAAATATCACTAACATTATACAACCTGTAGTACACCCATGTAGTACTGTTGTGCACTATGTTTAAAGAATAAGATAAGAGAGATAAGAATAAGATGTCTCGCTACCATTGCCCCTATGGAGTGGGTCAAAATGTAGGCAATGGGTAAAGACAAAAAGGGAGAGTGGGGATTTTAGGATTGGATGCTTCATATAATTATGATTGAACTTCAATTAAGTTCACTTGATCACTAATTATATATCACTGTCCAATCCTCAATATCACAGATTATTCACCCTGTACATATTTTGAGATCAGATACAGTTGGGACCAAGTAAACTGGCAACTCTGTTGCATTATAAAGAAACGATACGATATTATACGAATATACTCATTAAACAGTCTAAACTGGTTGTACTACACAACCGAAGTGATTAAATGAAAAAATAACCATACTAGATGTATAAGGTAAATGATATTGAGGATTGGACACTGATCTATAATTCATTATTGAGTTTCCCCAGCTTGTATAGGAAGTACCTATATAGAATAGAGAATTAAAATGCGCAAATGTAGATATTTCAGGTCCCTATAGCTATCCTGAATAGTTTCTGAATTTTTCAATACTAAGCCATCGCGTCCATAATATGTCAATTGAATACCAAATATAATAGGAGTACAATAATGTTGGTAGCTACATCCCACAGTACTGTATTACAAAATAGTTTACATCGATTCAACTTCAAGAGTGAACCATGAGTGCAGCAGAAGCTTATAACTATAGCTCTCAAAAAGCATGATGTCTAGAAATGAAAAAAGTCTCTTAGGTAAGCATAGTGCAGGGGTAGCCTTAAATATCGTGAATTACACATACACACTTGATTTGAAATGAATAATGGATAATACGGAGATCAAAATGCATGATACAAGCAGTGCATTTTCTTTTTTTTGTGATGGCACTGGTCAAATTTAGAGGGACGGGGCACTATTTCTTCAAAAGAACATGTCCCTTTAGCTTTACTTATAGGGTTGTATCTAATGTCGCATGGGCTGCTTACTCACCACTTGAGCACTGACTGACGGATACTTTTCTGTGATAATTGTACGAGTCATGATTGTGTGTGACAAATGTGACTGTCACATTTATACTGATTAAACCGGTTGTGTCTTTAATTCCCAATAGATTTTGTAAATGAAATAGTTACTTCTATATTTCTGACTTCACTCAAAACATTGTGTGAAATAACGTTATCTGCACCAATTCTAGATGCAATCTTGGACCGTATACGATAGATTAATTTCACTTACCAACTAATTTGACAAACCACCATCCAGCGCAACCCACTTTGAGTAACTCCACTATATCACCATCTTTCATATTTACTTCGCTAATGCCCATTGCACAATAATCAGCTAATGCTACATAACGGCCACTCTGAAAAGGACAAATAACGTGTCAACTATACAAAAAGTGCTTTTAGGATTGCTACTGGTGCAGTGATGTACAAGCAACATTTTAGGTTTATTACATATATGCACACGCACACAATCAAACGGGTTAGGCAAACAAAAACACACTACTACCATTTTGTTTATATCAAGCGTAATTCCAATTGAAGTTGTACCAAAGTAATTCAACCTATAGAGCGCCCCCCTCGCAAATTGTAAAATAATACAAACATTCTCTGGTATTTTCGAGAAGGTTCGTTGAAGCAAACCTTTGTAGTAATCAACAAACATGGCAAGACTCAAAATGCACACATTGGTATTGTACTTCACTTCAATCTTTTTAAAACAGAAAATGTAAAAATGAATTTAAATTTTCACATTGGGTTTTGGCACTAATTTCTTTGTGAATAAACAATACTTTGGAGCAGAATGAAGTGAAAAACAACAAGTGTATTAAAAGTATATCTTTGCTCAATAATCTGAAATTGGAATCTCCTACGACCGTTCATTGTTTGTCATATTATGCTTAAAAATGAAATAAAACAATCTGCAATAAACAGTTACAATCGCAATAATCTTGTCAGCACTTACACAATTCAATTGGTTTCATTACAATGTTTTTATGATTTCAGTTATTACAGATTATTTTCGTTTTCCCATGAATAATGAAAAAAAAATACACATATTGCAGGCACAAAACTGTTATATGCTGTTTCTTTCTATGTAACGTTAAATTTACTGTTATGTTTGTTTTTAGCTTCACACAAAACAAAATTTAACGTTACAAATGGACCATTATGAAATAATAGCAAGCATAAACGGCAGCAAAAACCATTTATCAATACAGGAGAGCAGAAAACAATCCACTCATAATATCTTGGGAAATGTAATGTGGCTTTTATTAAACATATCTGACCACAACTTTCATTCTGTTTCCCAGTTATAATAGGTGCATTGTTTTAAATGCACCACCGTGTATATTCGTAACATAATCGAAATAGCAGTAAGCAAAAAATGATGATGATTAAGTTAATTACTCGCATTTCTCAGGATTTGCTGATGTTGGATTGCGCATTTGATTAGATGAGGGGCAGTCATTTTATTCACTCTTCATACTTTAACTTTTTTCAGTTTATTTCACACTATTATGACACACTATTTTTGGTCCTTTGTCTCGGACTTTTGGCAAAGATTGCCATCTTTCCTCCCACTTCATTTATTAGTTCACCATGAGTTTACCCGAAGTATGGAAAGATGATCAACATATATAGCTGTGTAGGAGACGCTTAATGGTCAGAGCAGCACACCTGTGTACATAGGTACCCATTGCAAAACTAAGTATATGTACATGGTATGAATTTATTCGGTAGAGTTACTACCGTAGCATCAGTAAATGCAGGTGTTGGGGAATAGAAACAATGTCAAGAAGGTCCCCCCTTTATAAATTAGCCATTTATACTATATTGAGGCAAAAGCAAACTTAATCTTAGAAAGCAGTGTGACCTTTTTCTTCACACACAGTTTGAGCTTCACTTTCCTATGAAACCTGCGAATTTTATATTAATGCTTTTTACTGTTTACGTAATGTTTATTGTCAAGAAAGGTGATACCATATCTTTCCACCAGGCTTGTATCATTTGGAGTAAGAAAAATACTTAATCGTTTCTTCATCACTCTAGTCTTAGTCTAGTCTACAACCTTCTTGCTAAGGTTATTATGCATTAAATTTAGTTTTGATCTGATATATATGTTAGGCGCAAAGATCGAAAACGGCCATTGAGCGAAAAAAACCGCCACAACGCGTTTTGGGTAATGCCAATTGACCACGTAGCGTTCATTAGGTTTTTTTCGCTTTGTGGGCGTTTCAAAATAGCCACTACGCGTTCTGAACAATCTAACTGTACCATTACGAGAATTCGCGTTGTGGCTGTTAACTGTTTTCAACCACAACGTCCACATCACGTTCTAAAAAATAGTAAATATTCAGAACCCATTGTGGGAAATCGTCGGGAAGCACACAGGGGTTTGTCAGCTGCAATTGCAAGCGATACTGCAACGACAAAAAGTGCAAGTGCAAATCCAAAGACGTGAAATGTAACTCAAAATGCCACTCCAACAGCTCTTGCAAAAATAAATAAAGAACACTTACGCAAGGAAGAGATAGTATCAAAAAATCGTATGTAGCTCTCTGTAAGTTGTGGTTCCTAAGCTAATAAAGTTTCCTCCCGTTTCACAAAAACTACCCAGAATGTTTAATAATCACGTCGTAGCTATTGGAAAAACTAGTCACAATGGGTTCTACTGATATTTGGTATTTTTAGAACGCGTTGTGGTTGAAAACAGTTAAGAGCCGCAACACGAATTCGCGTAATGGTACAGTTAGATTATTCAGAACGCGAGGTGGCTGTTTTTAAACGCCCACAAACCGAAAAAAACGTCAAGAACGCTTCGTGGTCAAGTGAAATCACCCAAAACGCGTTGTGACCGTTTTTTTCGCTCAATGGCCGTTTTCGGTCTTTGCGCCTAACATATATGTCAAAAGTGGGGGATTAACCCAGCTACGTCGCCGGAACTAAAAAAAAAACAAAAAATTGCTCGCCTTCTACATTTTTTAACAAAGCACGAAAAAGTTAAATGAATTGGTACCATTAATTACCTAAAAAGTGAAATTAAATATCAAATACGCGTATGTGTCAAAAAATCAAGCAACTTACCTAAAATGAAGTTGGATTTTAATTTTACAATATTTCCACTCCAAATATATCACAAAAATACAAAATAGTACGTCCCTGAATTACTACGCGCCAGATAAATTGTCACAAATTTACACAATTGAAGAGCAAATAACTACAATAACGAGATGACTGATTTGAAATAGTATATAGTGGGCTCACTTGGCCTAGAAGAGTAAATACTCCACTATGACATTGAGGGTGCCTGTTCCGAATGTGTATTTTTGCAAATGTACAGTGTGTTGGGTTGACGAGCCTTGGCCCATTTAAAAATAAGGGCAAATGAATAAAAAAATACCATACAGTACAGTAGGCGCTCGGTAATCCGGCACCCAAATTTTTTCGTTTATGGCAGATTAGTGGATTTATATGGGATATAAAGCATCTTTTATATACTACATGTACTATGTGGGAATCACATGATTCTTACCGTAACAGAGTACTTAAAGTACAGATTATAGAGTGGGTAGTGCCAGATTGTAAAGTGAGTCAGCTGTTGACTGTTGAGTGTCGGATTACCGAGCGCCTACTGTATATCCATTGGGATCTCAATATCCAAGAGAATCTATTCTACAGGGAATATGTGAAAATATGATCGTTTCAATTAATCAAGAATTTGTTTGATCAACGAAATATTTGATCTAAAATCTCATACTGAGAAAGAGTCAGCGTAAGAGTATTTTTTCTCCCTGCTGTAGCATTTAAATCCTCTAGCTAAGAAAAAAAGAGCCTGCCTAATGCCTTCAACAAGATTTATGAAAATCAAGCGGTGTCCCTACACCAAATTAGGCATATTAATAGTAATGTTTATTATTCAACGCGTACAAACTATCCAATAACATACAAAAGACAAAATTAAAATTGCACAAAAAGTCGCGTAACACAACTGTAAATGATGAGTAACAGGCAAATATAGACCATAGCAGCTATCAATTAACAAAAACCCAAAGTCTTTAGGTGGCCCAGGGGCTGAGATCTCGATGGAACAGACAGACAGACAGACAGACGAGGGAAAATCGAGCACATAAGCGAGTCGCACTCAGGAGCGCGAACCACGACTCTCCAGGCTGATACACAACAAGCGGCCGGTCCATCAGTCTTGAACGGCTATTAAATCAGATTCGCACGGACTTTTCACGCAGTGTAAACCAGTTAGTGTTTTACGCGCGCGTCAAAAATAGGCGCTATAGCGAAATATTTCTTTTGTCCACCAACGGCATTGCCCTTTTCGACATCGTTCGATTCTTGTTTTTTAAAACATATACTGAAATGATGGCAAATGCTGCAGCCGCACGTGAAGGTACCACTTCCATGGCTGCCTCGCGCATATTGGCGGTATTCCTAGGAATGATGCGCGAGTCTGAGTCGTCTAATGTGCAGTACACATGTGATATCAGTAAAAGGGAAACTTTTTGTCTGTCTCATCGCACAGAAATCCAGGTGCGTACTAAATGGTATTTTCTGAGGTTCATAGTTAATTTAGTCAATGAAATAATCCATCATGCGTAACTTAAATTAAATTACATCTTAAATTCAATTAAGTTAAGAATAATTAAATCAGATTCACTAAAGTATAGCAGTTTTATTTGTATTAGTCATGAGGTGTGACATTTTATATGGGTGATCGTTTAAAAAAAAATAGAAGTGACTTACGACAACTGCTGTATTTTGATGCTCCTCATCGTCACTATTGCTACAGTCAGATGACCAATTGCCACTCTCTATTGTTTCTATAGAGTCATCGTCTAAGTTTGTTGTAGGTAAGTGAGAATCCGTGTCACAACTCATAGTGCGGTGATGATTAAGTTGAGGAATTATACCGATTTTTTGCTTTTCCCAGGAGGTCACTTGGCGAAGAGCTCTAAAATAGAATTGTCAAACATCATTATGGTATAAGATTAACGTACTTGTGTGCATTAGCAGTGTATTGTTTAATTTTCTCCCCCTTAAGCTCCTCCAATTGATTTAACAGTACCCGTTTAATTTCATTAACCCACATCTGTTTTTGTTCCACCGTGCTTGCTTGGATTGTATGCACTTCTTGTCGTCCTTGTAACCACAGCTCAAACTTTCGTATGTCACCTTTGACCGATTCGGTTAAACCAATCTGAGACATTTTTAGATAATGTTTGAAATGGTACATAGATTTATTATGTGTCGTTTTATTTGTAGGCTTACAGAATAATACTGCCTTTTGGTATAGGAATATGTGCCTTCTCATTGGTTTCAATCTCAGCTTCAAATCTTTTTTATTCTCTGTCCACACTGAAAAGGATCCTTGAAGTAGTAGGTCACCTTGCTGCGATAAATCAACAGGAAATCCGCTGATAGAGATTTGATGCATGCTATCATTGACACATCGTAACACGACAAGCATGCAATCTAGCGCTTGCTGCAGTTCCTTGCAACTTTTCTTTTCATCCGAATAACGGAGAAGATCCTTTAGAAGTAACTGATACTTAGTTATCCTTTGAACTGGTTTTAATAGGTAAGCGGCTAGTGGTAACTTATGGCCCAATTTATGTTGACACCTTTGAAAAAATAAATTTGTGTCTACTAAAGCTTCACGTAACTGTTCTGATCTTGGGATATTTTGACAATAATAACTATACAATTGGTAAAACATGTCCCTCTAAAAAAATAAAGTTACTTCACGTTTATCGGTTCACTCCGCATACCCTTTGCACGAAACATAAAGCTACCAGATCTGTTGTCGAAATACAGTTTTCTAGATCTTTCAAAAAAATATCTCCATGAAAATGATAAAGTTCATCTAAATTTCCAAATAATATATCTATCTTATCTAATAAACCGTGAGGTAAGATTGGTTGCATTTCTTCTGACAACGCTTCCATTTTGTAACCCTGCAATAATATAATTTTGTTATTCCACAGGAAGACATTGCATCATTTTCAATATACAGGTCACGGAAATGATTCCTGACAGAATGAAGAAAGTATCTTATAGTATAATTATACCAACAAGGGAACAGGGCAAAGTACTGGCCGGAACCGTCTACTATACTGTAGCAAACATTTGAGAAGTTTCTATAGCCATCGAGGCCCTATGAAAGATTAGTCATTTGCGATAATGAACGAAGGCGGACGTTTCAGTTCAGTTCCAATTTCGACGCCGAAGTAAAAAATGGTTCGCGTTGTTATAAATTATGTATTCGCGAGTGATAAATAATATTTTACTGTTATAAATCCATTCATTTCAAGACTGTTATAAATTTACTAATTACTTGTAAATAAATAAATGACTTAATTAAATTTACCTTACAATACCAATTGATCCATAACAGTTGAGGGAGGATGGGAGGCATACGGATGCAAACTGGCACTTGGTCTCTAGAGTAACCTACAATATTCCAGGCAGTGATATTTGCTATTAACTCATGCGCGCAGATGATGTTATAGAGTAATGGACCAATATGCGGAAAATAGTAACGTGAAGCTGATATGTGCCCGCGCATACTGTCAAATGGCCAGAGAAGATCAACATATGCCTTCTATGCGATGGCAACTGTGGTATATGTAATTGGTCATGTTAGAGTACGAAATAAAATGAAAGCCATATTGAAAGAATGGCAGTGGAGGAACATATGTTTGGTAAAAAACAAACCAAAGAGCTCCTAAAGGTGCCCTCCGCCCAAATAGCTAAAGACTTTTGACAGATCTCCTAAAAGGTCATTGTCGAATGGAAAGCCACCTCACAAAGTGGTCAACAAAGTAGAACCACTTTGCAAGGGATGCCATATATTGTGTCACTGTGAGGGAGTGAAAAGGCATCCAGAAATGTTTCAAGATCGGTAACACAAAACCCACAGTCGTAGCAGAAACGTTAGGCGACTATATATAACCTCAGAGCAGCATTAATATAAGAGCCATTATATTAATGTTGCTCCTGCGATTATATATCTTTGAGTTCATTCATTTTATGGACTATAAGCCTTAAGATTGCAGTACAGGCACCTGATAGGAGTCCACTTATGTGAATAATAATAGTGATAATAATAATAAGAGTAATAACCATCAAAATAAAATGTCAACTCAGGTTCCGAATTCTGTTCTGATATAACCACTTGCATAACATCCCTAGTTAAGACCATGAACAAATGCTCATTACCTTCAAGTCTATAAGCTGAGTAATCAATAAAAACCAAAATTTCTTACATATATTCTTTAACTGTTTCTGCTATCTCTTTCCCTCATAAACGATTGTTTATCAGTGATTAAGGCTCATGGTAATATTATCATTTCTAATTACCCTTTATTGGAATGCACAAATCTCCCTGGTTCGAATCCGGAATCCAGTGTAAATGTATAGTGAATTGATTTGGTAGAGCACCTTTGGCTGAAACCCCACCCATTTCAAAGTAAAGACCAACAAATAAATAAAAATCCAAATCTAAGCGAAAAAATTTGGCTGCCGGATTCCCAAGGGCCTACTGTATTTCATTTTAATATTTTCCAATCTTAAAGAAAAATCGTGAAATTACGAACACTCATGTATATATATTAAAACACGCTTTGATTAATACAAATCAGTTAAGTATACAGTTGTTCATTCTGAAGCTCGCAACATAATGAAGAAATGTAGGAAGCGATTGGTTAACAGATGAGGGTATTGACAATTTACTATGCTAGCAGTTCCGATGAAGATGAATGGTTTCGTATAGTGAAGATTTAAACCATATTTACAGTATGCCTTCAAACCCCTTGATGGTATGCAACTCATGCAGATGTATTTATATTTACAACTTTTGCATTAGAATGTACAGTGTAAAATTGTAGCGCCCTCGTACACGCCTTGTAACGGACATTGTTAAGTGGAAGCACTTTAAATCCATTTGAAGTTAAAACATTACGATATGCTCACAAACCAAAATTACCTTTAATATAGAAAGGAGTTCTAAAACATATATCCGTTCTGTTTCCAATAACTCATTTAAGACATGCCCTCTTTTCGCTTTTCGAACTTCATATTGAGCAACGTCGATTTCAGGAGAGGAATTTTGATCGTTGTCCGATACAGAATTATCAGGAACTGTTTCTATCTAAAACAGAAGTTAGTTTACACTATTTATAAACAATTAACGCACCTTGGAGATGGTGTTTGCCTTACGAAGAATTGACTTATTCGAGTCAAAAGATATCACTGGAGCGGGTTTAGAGAAACTATTAACTATTAATTTTAACGCGGCTATACGTTTATTGCAAGCAACTGTTAGATCAGCTATCCTTTCGAGAATCTGAAAAAAAAAGTTTTTTTAACTACCTTTTCACCTCTCTCTGCCAAAAAGGTTCATAAACTATCAACCCACTTTTCTGATACAAAGGAAACTTTTTTCTAAAATAGTTGTAGCAAAGAGTAACCATACTCTTTGGTTGTAGTCATAAAGTTCACTGAGGTGAGGAATTAAAATAGCTGGAAAAAGGTGGAACATTCAACAAGATTCTATGCACCCGCACGCCATCAGCTATTAGAGGATCATTCATATACCAACCGTTTCTACAACTCAACAAAATCGCGTGCAATCTGTAGATACTTCACTAAAGGATAGTCCAGTGTCGGATGCATAGGTTACCAACCATCCACTTTTGATACTGATATATCGATCAGTAAAATATATCCATAAGTGAGCATATATGATGCTTATCGACTATGTTATCGATAAGTGAAATCAGTTATCATCCTTCCCTAGTTGTGTCTGCTGAACTGGTATGAACTGCACTTAGCCGAATGGACGCGTATATACATATATTTGTATTTTGTATTTATTTAGCATAATATATGGTTATTGAATATAATGAAAAATTGGCAACAATCACATAAGCCAAGGCTCGTGCGTGATGGGTCATCGAGTATATACTTTAGTACACTAATACAAAAAAAAAGAACAGAACAAAAATATAGAACCACATAAGGGTTAGAACGAGATTCACGTTAGCTTGAAATAAAAATATGATAAATGATTGCACACCATAAATGTTTCCCTGTTACAATAACTCACCTGTGTAATTATACGTTTTACTTCCGAAGGAACAAAGTCCTGAAGGAGTGTTTTACAATCTTCCGAATTATCAAATTTAAAATCGCCTAAGTTTAAAAAATCTTGAATTTCTAAAATTTGTTGTTCAGCTAATTCCGCCGAGCACGATAGATCCTCCATTTGTTGCTCATCTACAATTGCCAGACCTTTTATGCACCATTCCTTCGCCTAAAAATTGAAACAAGCATTATCTCACAAACGAAAATTCAAGTTTTTTATGTACTTACACGTTCAATTTTTCCTAATAAAAGTTTATACTCTGTCAACATAGTCATCCGTGTGTATAATTTTTCCATTAGTGAGTGGCGTATGCAAATTAATTCGGTGCATTTAGGCTTGATACATTCGTGTGGGAATGAGTTTTTAATTTTAAGCAGTCGTTCGCCGGACGAAATGACTTCTTCCGCACGTTCAATGTCGACAGTACATAATTTTTGAAAGGTCGCCGTTTCTCGAATTAACGTCTCGATCCTAGTTACGCTATCGCCAATTTCCGTCATTTCCGACATCGTTTTTAAATGAGAATTGAAATTAATTTGCAATTCGCGAAAATCCTGTTCGAACCTCCTGAGGTCTAAACAGTGACGCAATTTGGTGGAATGCTGTTGCCAAAAGTCGTCAAACGTCCTTTCCGTTTCCTCTAATTGAACCAATAATCTTTCAACCGCGAAAACATTCGCAATTGTATCCGGATAATGAAAATTTGTGTCGGACTTTTTCCCGGAATTTTCCCTAATAGAGGTAAGTAACTGTTCACCGTGTTTGGCCGCTGTTAATATTTCTTCTTTTAATTCGGAGTATATTGAAGTTTGTTGGTTGAGCAACTGCTGCGTCGAGTCTACATTATTGGGGAACTCGGTTTCGTTAATTTTTTTTGTAAATTCATCTAATGCGTGCGAAACTCTTTGGGTTATTAAGGAAAATTGCTCAAGAGCCTAAAACGTAGCATTATAATAAAGTGATTATTGTATATAGCTAATCCACAGATATAAATATACTACAGATAGCTCATGACAATTTAATTTTAATTAAATTTTAAACAGACGCAATGAACATTATAAAGGTCACAGAGCCATTTAGATTGTTATGAAAAGTTGGTTGTAGTTTGAGATTGGACGCAAGATTCGATCATATTGGTTGAATTCAAGGTCAATTTTGTTTTGTATCAGTTATTAATTTAATAATAATAATAATAATATATTTATCCCATTTATGATGAATACAATTTTTGTGGAATTTTTTGGAATAATAATAATAACCATCTTCTCCAGTACATGATGGTTATAAATAAAACAAGTCCATTAGTACTACAGCTTACTCGTTCTTCCTTGTTGCATTACTTTGAAAAGGTAGCGGCTACTGCAACGCGCGCTCTCGATGGTTCTGTGGTACTAATGATAAGTTTTATATAGGCACATATAGGTAATAAGTGTACAAATACTTCTAAAACTGAAACTAATGTTAAACCTGCACTTCTATTATATCATTATACACGTTTGCTCGGTAATGAACGCATTTATGAAGGTATAGAAGTTAAAACCTCTGTATTGTTACTTTTGTATATTGTTTATTTGTTACCTGAAAACAATTGCGTAAGAATTGGCGTAGATAAAAAGTGTTGTTATCTCTGCATACGCTAATTAGTTTCAAGATAAAAAAACACAGGTGCAGTTTATCGTGCAACGACGCATTAACTTATTAAAGAAGTGGAGGCAGAAGTTGCAAAGAAAGGGAACTTGTTTTAAATAGAATGTACAGGATTAGGGGGGCAAGTTGTTTGGCGAACGTTAAAACGCAGCCGTATTTTTTGCAAAACAGTACTCTTGTTCCATCCGGTCAGGACTGCAGTCCCTCGGCAAATCTGAATCTTCTAAAACTGAATAGAAACCAGATAAGGAAGATCACACCTTTTACGTTGAATGCCATCAATTGCTATACTAATGCAGGGTTGATGATCACGTCCAAAAAAACAGGACAAAATATTTATTTAAGAACCACAGTTAAGTCTATTTTTTTTAATTCCGTGGCTGCAAGCACTTACTTCATTAGCTTTGCAGGTATAGTAAATGTGCGTGTAATCAGAGTATTGATGATACCTTCATTCAATTTGGTTATATATAGAGGGTTCCTAAGATGAATACCTGTCAGACACCAAGGGTAATGCTGGTGACAGTAGACCTCATATTATTTACAATGGTCTGTTACGTCCTATTCGACAATTAGGAACTGATAAGGTCAACAGGCATTACATCAAAAGTGTAGGGATTTGCAAGTGAAAGGATGGTGCAGAATAGTATAGTAATTTTGAAAATTATGAGAATGGTGCACTAGGTACCGAATTCCGCTAGGATTACCTAAGTGAATTCGTATATTGATCCTATGATTGTTGTACAGGGGGTGTGGTTTAATAACGGACAAATACGCTCGAACCCATCGATTTTGTTTTTGGATTGCGCATATTATGACACAAAACACAGATATACCGGGTGCTCCAAAAAGCATGTCGGAAAAAATAATAATAACCGTAGCCAATTTAAAACATGTGATGAGCTATTTGAAGTATATTTGGCAACGATGGTTAAACTTACAATCCTTTGCTGTATCCATTCTTCGTGGGAATACAGCAAAAGGCCGCCTAAGTCGGAGGTTAATTGGTTAATATCTACATGTTCGTGTAATTCATCGAGAGTGCTTAATATAATCACCCGAAACTTAAATTCTTCCTTGAATAATTTATTGCTCACTTCGGATAAAGCTTTTTGTAAAAAACTTGTCGGCCGTATTACATATACAACGTGAATAAGGCCAGGAAAATACACCTTCAAATTAATTATTAAATTGTGTAGAATGAAATGAATCTCTACTAACGGATATTTTTAAAAGTACCGTTTTAACAGAGTTCCAACGGTCTTTTCGTCTATCAACTATTAAATGGAAGCCCAAATCTGCCTCTTGCAAACTGAAACAAAATCGTTAAGAATAATATGAAAAACCTTAACACTTATGACTTACGAAGGTACAGACGTTAAATATAACATTAGTTGTTGATATTCAATATCAGTTAACATATGAAAATTACTATGATCAGGAAATGTGATCAAGGAGCAGCCTTCCTTCGATTTCCCACCAGTTATTATCGCATACTCGGCTCGCAAAATATCGACAATATCACCCATGTTTAATGTTCGAAACGGAACAGGACTTTTAAGTTCTATTTCTTCCGTAATACTTTTGGCATCTGCAACATACAAAACAATAAACTAAAATATATGTATAAATGAACTTAAATATAGGTTACATGCGCATTTCCAAATAATTTGCATTGTTTTCTTCCCAATGTCAATCTCACTCGTACCTACCTTGAACGGTAAAGTACAAAAGTTCAAAAGATCCACTACAAAGTATGTACAAAATGTTAGAAGGGCTACTCTCTAAACCTTAACCATTAGGTACTTAGTAAAAGGGGCTTAAACCATTTGGAAAAATTAATGTTCATTAGCAACATCAGATTTTGATAGACCTTGAATTTTAAATTAAGGTTGAGTAATGGTTTGTTTACTACATGCTACATCTAATTATTTGCTCAACCTTACAGCTACAACGCCACCTTTCATTTATATTATGACAGCCCAAACACTCACTACACTAAAAAGAGGAGGTACTTCTGTGGGGAGCTCAATGCCTCCACTCTAAATCTGGTCTTTGAACTTACCAAAAATCCCAGGTTTCCCAGAAGCTTTTATGTGCTTACAAATATGCGAGCTTACAATCTTTTTAATCAAGAGGTTTCCAGAAACCTACATAGAAGATTAGTATAATTACATAATTAATAAACCCATAAAGAGCGTTTAAAAAAGCGGCAGAGCACCTCTGTGTAACCCCACGCAGTCATTGGATTTGACCCATTTTCAATAGGCTTATTACATGTGGCATATAGGTCAACTGTACAAAGTTTGAACCAAATCGGTCCAAGCGTTTGACAGTTATCGTGTTCACGGACAGACGGACACCAACGACTCCCCTATAAAGCTTACATAGCTTTGCTCTGCCGCTTAATAATTAAAAGCTAGAAAGTACAAGACAACTTATTGATACAAAATGGGCCAAATAATTACTGATGCGCAAACCAAGCCAGTCCCCTATATCCGGATGCGGCAACGAGGTTACAATCCACGCAGAAAGATATGGATACCAGATGGTGCCAGCTGTGGTTCCAATGAAGAGGTTATGGGCATTCCAAGAGATGCCAAGGAACAACGGAGATGAGGTTCTCTGAATTATTTGGGAGTCATCATAGACTCCCGCCTGACAGGGAAAGGGGCATATTGAGCGAGTAAGGAAAAAGACCACTGTATGTCTATGGGCATGTAGAAGGGGTCGCCTGTGTGCAAGTTCTTGGACGAGAGCCTTTACATTTAGCTGTGGAGGCAGAGGCCCGGAAGGCTTCCATACAGCTAAATGATTGGGACGAATGGAAGGATCAAGGCAGCCATGGGCACAGGCGGGATATGATCCCAGCTGTCTTAGTAAAACCAAAGAGTTATCAAGTCACTCTCCAGAACAGGGAGCAGTGGCTGAACTCAGATCGTCTGTTCCTTAAACCTGAGGGGGCTAGTGTGGTTTACAGACGAATCCCCTAATGGAAAGGGGAACAAGCATGGGTAGGTATATATGGTGATCGACCTAGAGCTGACATCCGCTTTTACCTTGGTCAGCATATAGCGCCGTGCTTCAGGCAGATGTTAGCAAAAAAAAAAACAAGTTAAAAAGTAATCGTAAACGATTTACATAAAGCGCATTTCCACTTGCATTCATTTCCCATTTGTAAGATGCAACTTCTGTTAAAATCGTAAAAATCCGGCCACAAATATAAAAGATAGCGTTGCACATGGGCAATCCATTTTTGACGTGCTACTTCAATTTCAGTTTATGAGAAGAATTTCATTTCAATGCTTTTCTAAATAAGAAAGTTGGAACTGCGCGTTCGCAAACCTAAATTTTAAAACTAATGTTAGATTTTCCTTTGTTCCAAGCGCCTAAGTATCAAATTTCACTTAAATGGTTCCATAGATAAAAAAGTTGGCACTGCAAAATAAAATTTTGAAACTGGCGCTAGATTTTCCTTTATTCCAAGTGCCTATGTATCACATTTCATTTAAATTCTTCCATAAATAAAAAAAGTTGGCACTGCGCATGCGCAAAACCAAATTTTGAAACTGAAGTTTGATTTTCCTTTATTCCATGTGCCTATGTATCAAATTTCATTTAAATTCTTCCATAAATAAAAAAAGTTGGCACTGCGCATGCGCAAAACCAAATTTTGAAATTGGCGTTTGCAATTCGGTTTATAAATGGTCGAGATGCGAAAAGGGCACTGTGAATTTTGAATCGATTCGATTCAACTTTTGGCGTTGCGTATTAATATGGCTAAAGCTATGCCCATATTGAATTTCATGCAATTAGTTCATAACTAACGGAGATGTAAAAGCGATCGAACATTTCTAAACAAAGTTATCGTTCACACGGACAGATAGATGGACAGACAGACAAAGGAACAGACGGACAGACCAACCGGCAGGCGACAGATAGCAATGCAAAATTATAAACGATCTCTAGGATCGTTAATAACGGCAAAAGTGTAAAATTATGGAACATGTAAAAAACGGTTTTTTGTTTTTTTTACAATAACTTTTTTTGTAAGCGGTACAGAAAAAATTCCTTCTTTGGTACAAGACTCGACACCATAACGAACCAAATAGCGAAAAAAGTAGAACAATAGCTCTTAAGATAAAGAACTAGTAGCGTCGCAAAACGAGCGGACGGACAAAGTGGCCACAATAGCGCATTTTTTTTTTGTGGAAATGCGCTAAAAAAATAGGGTAAGAGTGATCTAGGTGCCAGCGTACTGTGGAATAGGGGGCAACGAAAGGGCGGACGATCTGGCTCACGAAGGCAGTGGTGGGGTCTTCATCGCGCCCGAGCCTACCCTACACTGTCAGAGCCAGGATTAAAGACTGGGTGGGAGGGCCCCTTGACAGCTAACGGTGATAGCTAGATCCAAAGGATAGAACAGGAAGGTGATGGAAAGATGACAAGGAAGAATGGGGGTCACAATAATCATGGACAAGGAGACACACACAGTTCCTGACAGGTGATGGTACAGAAGGAAGCCAATGAAGACTGGTGGATTGAGTAACGACCATACAATGTTCGAATGTGTAAGGTGGAGATCTCCAAGAGAAACGGTGAAGGAAGGCCTTGGACATGCGATTACCCATGACAATATCATCGAAGGTGTGAGAACTGGGACAAAATTGTTTACGGAGATCTATCTTGCAAGAGAGAGGGCGGGAACAAACACGAATGCAGGAAATCCCAGCACGATATAATGAAAGCAGTACCGAGGTGCGGTCCTAAGATATGGAGGCTGCTGTAGCAATTCCCGGTGGAACAAACAGCAGTTAGAGGGGCATTTTAGTGGGTAAACCATACCAATCTGGGAGTCCCACATTACGACTAAATGCACAATTTTGCGCAAATTCTACCAACTAGTAGACATATATCCCATTATAAATATTAGTACCCTACTTCAGTTAAATTGAACAGAAGTAATGTTAGCCATCTTTTATTTTTACAATAACAATATTGCCTTGATTTAACCAAAAAAGAAGTTCGTGCAAGGAGAGTTTCAAATTGACAATAAAATAATGCCATTTGTTCTTGCACTTAACCTTGCCATCTTTATTCTGAAAGTCCGTTTAAACAAAATTCTAAATGATTCCAAAATTCTGATAATTAAGAGCACGGACACGCCGTAAGTAAATGAACAACTGTTGTAAAAAACATTTCAATGTGATATCTGGGAGCCACCTTTCGGTTACACTATGAGAAATGCGCAAAAAATAGATAAATACACTGGATCCATCATTAGATATAAATTTATTTTCGTTTAAAAATATGAGATCCTTCAAAACAATAACGTTTACATTAAAAAAATAATATTAATCATTATGACATACATTCTTTTACTTGTGTCAAATTTTTGCTTTTTGAATTTTTGGTTAGAAAATAACATAATACCTTACTTATATATCAAAGCAGCCAGGCACTACTAGTTCCTCATGAACAGTAAAAACTTTATTAAAACCTTAAATGCTCACCATTCGTGAAACTGCATTCTTAATGTCTAAGTAATAACAATATAAATAATCGTAATGATAACAAATATAAACACTAACAGTAGTAAGGTTTTGGCATCATCTACGGAGTACACACACACACTACTAAACTAATACCGAGTGCCGGAATGCTTTACGCATGCACACATTCCAGTTAGTCGTCCCCATTTGCACAAAGGAAATCGAAGAAAATAATACTAGTAGTGCCTTAATGAGTTACCAGGTGAAAAGAGCGGCAAGTTCACATAGAACATGAAATGAATATACCCTTGTACTAATAACACTGCTGCAAGCAAATTAAGTTCAGCCTGATTGGTTACATGCAAACAATATATTTCCATAAAAATAGATGGAGCAATGAAATTACGTTACTGACATTCATTCCACCTAACAACTGCCATAAACACTCACCAAGTTTTTTTCCCTACAGAAGTTTGGTGGCAGGTTTTGTCGGGTCGGAAATCCCCAGAACCCTAGTAGGCCAGTAAATGACCGTTTTGCCGTGTAATTTTTCGCGCCTCGACGGATTTGCTTTAAAATTTGGATTTAGGTTCCTCTTACCCTCTACTTCAAAGGTGAACTTGAGCCCAGGGTTGCTTTTACTTGGGGGGTGAATGCCACCCCTTCTCGGGGGGGAAAAAAGATACGTTCAAAATAAGTCCCGAAATTGATAAATTGAGTAATTCTAAGCAACTTTTGTTCTATAGAGTTTTTTCACTAAGTCAATAGTATTCGAGTTAATTGCGAGTGAAAATGTTCATTTTTCAACAAAAAAACTACGTTTTCAGACGGTTTTTCGCAAATAACTCTAAAAGTAAGTATTGTATTGAAAAAAGTATTCTTAGCAAGAATATAGCTTATAAACAGACAAACAAAATGGTCTATATATGAAGTCTGTAGACCCAGTAGAAGCAAAGTTGTAGCTCATGAAAAGTAGGTTCTCATTCGTCAAATTCCAAATCGAGTACTTCAACGTGAAATAACAAAAAAATGAAGCAATTTTTGGGGAAAACTTATGAATACTTTTTTAAAGTGTTTGAAAAAACCTTTCTTTTTGTTTTTAAGAAAAGTTCCTAGCATCAAAACTAAGTGAGCTACGCTCAAAATAAAGTTGGTCCTTTTTTTTTGGTAAAAATAATTGAGGAAATCACCCCCTAATTAGCACCCCAATTGTAATTAAGCGTTACCGCTTTACAGTTTACTTTATTTATGTATTGTTGTTTATATGATCTGTATGTTTGACCGGTGCAAAGTGCTTATTTTTGAAAAAATGTAGTTTTGAAGTTAAAAAAAATTTTGAAATTTTGAAAAGTCTTTTTTTTCCAAGTAACTATTAGTGTATTAGTTTAGTTTACTACAGTGGGGAATTTTTCACTAACTAAACTAATACACTAATAGTTATTTGGAAAAAAAATGACAATTTTTCAAAATTTCAAAATTTTTGTTGACTTCAAAACTACATTTTTTCAAAAATAAGCACTTTGCACCGGTCAAACTTACAGATCATATAAACAATATATAATAATTAGTTAGTGAAAAATTGCCCACTGTAGTAAACTAAACTAATACACTAATAGTTATTTGGAAAAAAAAGACTTTTCAAAATTTCAAAATTTTTTTTTACTTCAAAACTACATTTTTTCAAAAATAAGCACTTTGCACCGGTCAAACTTACAGATCATATAAACAATACATAAATAAAGTAAACTGTAAAGCGGTAACGTTTAATTACAATTGGGGTGCTAATTAGGGGGTGATTTCCTCAATTATTTTTACCAAAAAAAAAGGACCAACTTTATTTTGAGCGTAACTCACTTAGTTTTGACGCTAGGAACTTTTCTTAAAAACAAAAAGAAAGGTTTTTTCAAACACTTTAAAAAAGTATTCATAACTTTTCCCCGAAAAGTGCTTCATTTTTTGGTTATTTCACGTTGAAGTACTCGATTTGGAATTTGACGAATGAGAACCTACTTTTCATGAGCTACAACTTTGCTTCTACTGGGTCTACAGACTTCATATATAAACCATTTTGTTTGTCTGTTTATAAGCTATATTTTTGCTAAGAATACTTTTTTCGATACAATACTTACTTTTAGAGTTATTTGCGAAAAACCGTCTGAAAACGTAGTTTTTTTTGCTGAAAAATGAACATTTTCACTCGCAATTAACTCGAATACTATTGACTTAGTGAAAAAACTCTATAGAACAAAAGTTGCTTAGAATTACTCAATTTATCAATTTCCGGACTTATTTTGAACGTATCTCTTTTCCTCCCCGAGAAGGGGTGGCATTCACCCCCCAAGTAAAAGCAACCCTGGGCTCAAGTTCACCTTTGAAGTAGAGGGTAAGAGGAACCTAAATCCAAATTTTCATGCGATTCGGTGGAGACGCGGAAAATTACACAGTACGCCGCATTCCACGTTCATTTACTGGCCTATAGAGTGGAACAACACTGATTTTTGTAAGTGGAAGGAGCGTGACCTTAAATTCACATAATTTTTTATTTTTTGATGGTGAGAAACTAGTCATAAAGTTGTGAAGCTGAACTTAATTTGCTTGCAACACGATATTGCTGTATAGAGCAATGTAACAAACAAGCACATTCAATTAACATCACAAAAAGGAGCATTTCTAGAACCTGCCAAAAACGTTCTGCACTAACAATATCATTAGCAAACTTTCACCTATGATGAAGTGGAACATGCTAAAAATGAGCTTTTTGTTAATGATGAATATCACATTTTTACTTTATGTAAAATTAGTTTTATAAAAATAACTTTTGACTGAAACTAAAGTAATACTACTTTGATCTATTTACAATTTAGCTTCCATAATACAAAAGACCTACATTCGATTAAATGAATAGGGAGTGTGATGTTGCGCGTTTGCCATAGTCGTGACAATGTTACCTTGTTCGTTAATTACATAACCTGTATTTGTTAACTGATAAGAAAACGTGTTTGACGATACATGTCCATTCGGGTTTTGTGGCGTAACTACGTTACCACTTTGAATAATTTGGTGAGGAACTGGCGTAACGAGAAATGCCGCTTGGTGGTGATGTTGTGCAGAACTACCGTCATTAGGGGCAACTACAAGCGGTATAACTTGTTGCACCTCTGCATTACCAATAACAGATTTTTGTATCTGTTGATCACGTGATCGATCAACAGCCTGCACTTGAGATTTCTGCATGACATGTGTGTGAATTTGTTGCGGCGCTTCTTGAGTATGTTGCGTTTGGTGCTGATGTTGCTGTTGAAGGGCAGTTTTTGGCTCGACCTTACAAAACTTCACATGCGGAAACTGTTCCTTCATAAAATGCCTAAATGTTGAATAACCCATTAATTTAATACCGGGTTCTATAATTTGTCCATACTCTTTGTACGCGTCATGTAAATTTTTCCGGGTGATATCCCACGGTAGCTGAATGGGCTGTTTTAAATTACCAATGCCAATTTCACCCGTGTGGGTTTCTAAATATTGCTTTAAAAACTCGGTGGCGTGCCTGTAAATGTCTAAAGAAAATGTATTGTGAGGTTTCTTTCCATGATTTCCGTGGACTCTTGGCGCGACACCATGGGTCATCACGTGTTTCCTTATCCGTTTTAATTGGTAATGTGTACAATTTTCAAGATACAAAAATGCGTCTAAACATACGCGTCTGCCTTGGTAAACATATTGTGCCCGCAATCTTCGCCTTTCTTTATGTCGCACCGTCTCGTCAGGATTTGCCAGGCAAGCCATTGTCACACCCATTAAATACATGTCATGTTCCGCTTTGGTCAGTTCTGCAATATTAAGTCTGTGTTTGTACACACTTTCCGGATTCAATCCTCTAAAACAGCTTTCGTCTTGACACTCGCATCCCCTTCGAAATCTTTCCTTCACTTGTACGGCACTTTCTTCTAACTTTGTCGGAATATTACCACCGGTAGCTCCTGTGGCCCCGTTTTTCTTTTTCTTCTTTATAGGCGGTTTTTTCTTGCTGTTCTTAGGCGAAGTTTTCGGTTTATTACGTTTAGGAGAACTTGGAGGAGCTTCTGTTGTTGAACCCGTTGTGTAAATCGTCCCAATGTTTTGCGGCTCGTGTTCCACTTGTATAGTGTGACCTTCCCATATCACCTAGTTAATAAATTTAAATGTTAGTCGAACGTCCATCGAAACTATGACTTTCAGAAGGAAAAGAACCTTAACCTGAAAGTCATAGGGAATTTATTCAGTGAAACTGATAATTTCCGTATAACTCATTTAGTGGTACCACTACCTGCTGATCGTCCATGGTCTGAGGAAATTGATTATTCGCTTCAATTGCCGAAAAGAGCGGATGCGTCGCAATAGATACTGGCGTGTGCCATTGTATTTGAGGGTCGCCTTCTGTACCATCACTACTGTTTGTCGGATTAGATTGAAAAGAGTGCGAAGAGGGAGAAGGATTATCTCCTCTTTCGACTATAATCTCCTGTTTTTCTATTCGTTCCACGGATAACAAGGAGTGTAACACTTCACTGGCTTCTTTTTCAGCTGCATCCACACGAGCCATCTATTGACAAAAGTTTCTTTAAAATAATTATTTTTCGTTTCCACGATTCGAGGTTTGATCCCCTACAAGTATCATAAGTGTCCCCAGGAAAACTGTTTAGTTTAGAGCAGAGTGGGCCTGCTTTAGTTTTTTGCTGTAAATTTCATCAGAAATTTCCCTTAAAAATATCACAAAGCGTTATTCTGACCCAAAACCACAATATGAACTTTTCCTTGGGCCATCTCATGTAGGCATGAAACCTCTTTTTTTATGAAAAATGTATGACAACCAAAACTGATCTTTCATTTAGTAAGAGGTTGGATAAAAAACAAACATAAAAATACCTCCATTAACTTGGCCCCCCCATCAACCGCAAAAAAAATCTTTCTTATTCTAAAAATTAGTGCTAAATATGTGCTAATTTGTTACCATATTCAAAATTTTGTTGCTCAAATAAAACGGCCGTTTTTAAAAAAATTAGTGGGTGGGGCCAGCTTAATATAAACTGGACCCACCCAAAAAAAAAAAGATTGCGTGGAACAAATCGGGCGAATGTCACGCAGAAATTTGTTGCTGTAAAGTAACCATAACTATGACATGCATTCGCAAAGAAAAGTGGTTTATTCTTGTACCGAAGGTTATTACATTATACATTAAGGGTTACTTTAAGGGACCAACACCATTAAATGATTTGAGTTAAGTACAAAAGGATTCGTTAGAAGATCAATAACTATTATATTAAAGATTTTAAGAAAATTAAATCAAAAGTAATATTTGCTCTCTGACAGCGCTACAACAACATTCGCGCCATGCCCACGTCAACCGACTGGAACGCACAATTCAAATTGAATCATCTAAATATTTTGTTTCTAAAGTAGTTATTACCTACAATTGTTCATTCCATTGTATTTAACAATAATTAATGCAAAATCGAATTTGTTACTGACTATAAATAATAAAAAAATTTGCGAAAATGGCTCCGCCCGTAGACCGAAAGTATTTTAAAGACAGATATTTACGAGAGTTTTACAACTTAGTTTCGGCGAATCTAATAAATACTTAATCGCTTTCTGTCAATCTGCATTTATCCTACTTTACCATTCCCAAGAATTTTGAACTTGTCCTTTTCCGAATCGTTGAACTGTATTTTATAACTTGGGAATGGTAAAGTAGGATAAATGCAGATTGACAGAAAGCGATTAAGTATTTATTAGATTCGCCGAAACTAAGTTGTAAAACTCTCGTAAATATCTGTCTTTAAAATACTTTCGGTCTACGGGCGGAGCCATTTTCGCAAATTTTTTTATTATTTATAGTCAGTAACAAATTCGATTTTGCATTAATTATTGTTAAATACAATGGAATGAACAATTGTAGGTAATAACTACTTCAGAAACAAAATATTTAGGTGATTCATTTGAATTGTGCGTTCCAGTCGGTTGACGTGGGCATGGTGAATGTTGTTGTAGCGCTGTCAGAGAGCAACCATTACTTTTGATTTAATTTTCTTAAAATCTTTAATATAATAGTTATTGATCTTCTAACGAATCCTTTTG